AAAAAAAAGATTTAAAATAGGTGCACTAGTTCCAAAGATATTGACACTTTAGTAATCGTACTTTTGTCAAAAATTCAAAAAATCAAAATTTTTGTGTATCTCAAAAATGGCTCTACTTTAATTTTTTCTGACCACGGCATTGAATTCAGCGTAGGATTTTGCATTGGAAATGATCATCACCTTACCGAGTTCAAAAATGCTGTAAACTAGTGTTATTTCATTTATCGACATGATCGTCTTGATGGAGCCTGTGGTGGCGTTGCCACCAAAATCTTTCTTCATTTGAAACCAAAGTTTTTTGATACAAAACTTACAATTATAGCTTCCTATTTGCCATTCCAATTCCTTGGCTAGCAAAGGAATTTTCTCAAGGGTGACCTTTAGCAACTTACCCATCATTGGTCTAAATTCTTCATTATTGGTGATTTTAATGCAAAACACCGCTCATGGAATACTGCACGAAGCAACTCCAATTGTAATATTCTGTTTGATTATTGGTCAGTAGGTTGTAACACTATTCAGTATCCAAACAGCCCAACATGCTTCTCTTGAGTAAAGAAATCCTTCAACTATTGATTTGGTCTTAGCTGATTCATGTCAACTTTTTATTCAATTGGTTACCCATGCTGACTTAGGGTCTAATCCAGTAACTTTTGAAATATCCCAAGAAATAATGTCTAACCCTACTTTCAATTACCATAGAGCTGATTGGGAGCAATATCGAACATTTATGGACTATAACTTCGATCCAAACATTCCTTTGCAAACCAAAAATGATGTACATTATGCTCTTGAATCCCTGACTACTTCTATAGTTGAAGCAAGAGCTGCCTCAGTACCAAAATGCGAGGTTAAATTCGATTCAATTATACAAGACGACGATCTTCAGCTCTTGATCCGTTTGAAAAATGTCCGTAAGAGGCAATATCAAAGAACACACGATCCTACCATGAAATTTATCTGGCGGGATTTGCAAAAACAAATTAAAAAGCGATTATCTGCCCTGAGGAACAAAACTTTTGAAAATAATATTTCAAAATTAGACCCAAGTTCCAAACCCTTTTGGAAACTCACAACATTTTTGAAAAAAAAAAAACCTCAAAAGCCTATTCCAGCGCTTAAAGGATTGATGCATATATTATGTCACGCTCTAAGGGGGGAGGGGAGGTCTAAGATTTTGTGACAAGCAATACATTAGGTATAAGAAAAACGTCACGATAGGGGGGGAGGGGGTAATTTTTTGCTCGATTTAGCGTGACATAATTACTGCATGGGCCCAAAGAAGGTGGTAAAATTTTGATCACAAATTTGGAAAAATCTCAGAAACTTGTTAAGCAATTCGAGAGTTCCCATAATTTCGGTTTGGGTCTTACTAGTCCTATTCAGGATCAGGTTGCTCGGGATTATCTGAATGTTTTCTCTCGGGAAAATATTTTTGATGATTCCTGAGGGAGTGATTTGGACGAAATAAGATTTATAACTTAAAAGTTTCATAATATGAAAGCTCCAGGTGATGATGGAATTTTCTATATCCTTATCAAAAAATACCCAGAGAGTACCTTGTCTCAATTTTTGTGGATGAGCAGTTTGGATTTCGCCATTCCGCCACTGCTCATCAACTCTTAAGAGTTACCAATTTAATTCGTTCAAGCAAATCTGAAGACTGCACAACTGGAGTTGCTCTTCTAGACTTAGAAAAAGTATTCGACAGTGTTTGGCATGAAGGTTTGATTGCTAAATTGTAAAAGTTTAATTTTCCACTTTATATTATGAAATTAGTTCAAAATTATTTAACTGACAGAACTCTGCAGGTAAATTATCAAAATTCCAAATCTAATCGACTACCTGTTAGAGCAGGAGTTCCTCAGGGTAGCATTCTTGGGCCTATATTGTATAACATTTTCACTTCGGACCTCCCTGATTTGCCTCAGGGTTGCCACAAATCTTTGTTCGCTGATGACACAGGCATTTCCGCTAAAGGAAGAAGTCTTCGTGTTATTTGCAGCAGACTTCAGAAAAGTTTAGATATTTTCTCTTCTTATTTACAAAAATGGAAGATTGCTCCCAACGCTTCCATAACTCAACTTATGATATTCCCACACATGCTTAGAGCTTCCTTATTGAAACTTAGAAGTAGTCATGCAGTCGCTATGAACGGAGTTCCAATTTCTTGGTCAAGTCAAGTGAAATATCTTGGATTAGTACTTGACCAAAAATTAACTTTTAAAGATTAACTTTGCCTGACGAATAAACTTATAATATTTAAACAAGTTTTTAGACCGATCATGTTTTATGCTGTACCACTATGATCTAGTTGTTGCATTATCAGGAAAAAAAACCACTTCAAAGGATTAAGAACAAAGTTCTGAAGATGATTTTGAAGTTCCCTCCCTGTTACAGTACTACCGATGTACATATAATGCAATTGTAAGAATTAATTCCCTTTATATTTGGATAAGATTTAGTTTTAGTTCTTTAATTTTAGGTTGCAAGTTTTTATACTCACATGCAGGTATAGAAAACATGTTTAAAATACAGATTTTCAAAAGCAGGAACAATGTTAACACTCTTAGATATATATATATCATAACAATTGATGCTGGTGAGTTACTGTAGTAGCTGGAGTATCTAGAATTTAGAATAAATAACGAGTTAAAAATAAATAATAATAAAACAAAATACTCAACTATGATATTTGACAGCATTTATAAATCCTATTCAATTCAATAGTAAGAACTTTACAGATTATTTGAGTTCATTTCGGCTTCGGTTAGATGTTCATTAAATAGGTTCGATTACCATGACAACAATCTCTGACTTTTCTTTGAACTGTGTCCTAAAAATTCTATACGGCAGCGTTATTTCTTCACAAAATGCGGAAATCCCATTGACATTAAACACCCGAACAATATGCGAAACACGGGAAACGGCATAAGTTTCAACCTTTTCTCATTATGCAAAGCATTTTTTTTTTATTATCGAAAGGCTCGTCAATCCGGAGTATAATCCCCATCAATCAACGCTGAACGGTCCGAAACAAAGACCGTGCTTCGATTCACGGCAAACACAGGACGAAAATCCACAGCCCTGCGTTTCCGAAGAAACGTATCGCAACCACTTGATCGAGTTGTCGAGTGTCGTCCTGAAGGAGAGTGACTGGAAAAAAAGTAGTCCATAATTGCTGAGCGATAAGCGATCTGGGACCGGAATAATCGTCATCGTCGTCCGCAGGATTTTATTTTCTCTCCCTCAAGTGGACCCACAAAAGTGAGACAAAAGGAGGGTAGGCATAGAGAAAAAAGGAAATCAACCCGCTCAGCGCCTCAAGTGGGCAGGATTCCGTGTGCTACCACTGTGGTTTCTGTGGCCATACAAAAACCGTGGGACTTCTGCGAAGTAATTTCCGGATCCTAGCTGTGATTATTTGCCTGAGTGTGTTGACTTTGACTGCACCAACTGTGATGTAGGGGATCTTTTGCCCGATTTTCTGCTTTGTTCCAATTCGCGAACAGCCGCGCGCCAAAAAGGAAGTTTATACCATCGAGGAGAGGGAATCAGCGAGGTTGGGTTCGTCGTTTGCCATCTTGAGGACACTTGAGACTAATTGATCTTTTGCTTTCTGCTTGGTCGGGTTGCATCGACACCGCCGCGGTAAGGGATCCGGGGGATCAACTTAAGAAAAGCGAACTGATTAAGAAAATGCATTGTTTTTTTTTTTCTTTTCCCGTCATTTGATTCTGTCAAGAAGCCAGGGTGATTGAACGTTTTGGTGAAGGAGTCCTTGATGCTTGATTGGGGGAAGGAAAAATTTGGTTATGTGAAACCGAAAGTGCGACCAACCTGGGAAATTGATCCACCTGAAGTGGTACTGTTGAGACGAAGAGCACATTGAGCCGAGTTTTGCGTGAGAATTTTAAGGAAAAAGGTAGTTTTTAAGAAACAATCACATTTCACATACGTTTTCTATTGTAGACGCCTAACCTCCGACAAATTATCAACATTACAATTTAAACGCTACGACACAATGATCTAAATCTGATTCCATGTAAAATTTATTTTCAATTGACAATTTGATTGTGTTTCATTCTTTGGTGCCTTTGTCCCGCCTGCCAATGCCAGATCGACATCGCATTCAATGCGAACCAACAATCCCAGTTCCCTTGATTCTCACAGTTCTCAAACGCACACGCAAGTTCCGGGATAGCCTCCTTCCCATCGCCGCATTCAGTTGCACAAGAGCACCCCGAAAATCCGGTCACGTCCCAATGGATTCCGAGTCCACCGAATGAATAGACCGACATAATCGTCTTGAAAAAACATTTGAAATAATTGCAACAAAAACCCCGTCACAGTAATAACACCTTTTCGGTCTATTGTCGCCCGGATCCACCCCCTGAATCGCCCCGTGTCCTGCTTCTTCCACTTTCAACTCACAATCAGTAATGGGCTTGTAAAATTTTAGGAATCAAATTCATTCACACCATTAACATAAAAGTACGTGTGATCCTTCTGCATCGAACCTACAACGAGGGATTCTTCCCGATTCAATAGAGCCAAAAGTGTCAAACGCAAAAATGCTCGACGCCCACTTCCGCCACCGCCACAATTCGCCTGTTTGTTGTGCTGCATTGTCCGGGGACAAAAAGGACTCGTTTTTCTCTATACCTACAACTACCAACGCACAAGGCCACTACTAGGTATGGCTTTCTTCCTCCTAATGGGCTCCGGGGACCTTTCGGGCGCGTCGGCGGTGTTGACGACAGCTTTCCTATACCCTCGTCTTCTCCTACTCCGCCGTTGTTGCTCATAAAAGGTATGTTTAGAGTTTTGTTTTCCTATTGGAGCGATTGTGTGCGCCATGGTTCAAAACCATCAGAAACTTGCATCGAGCAGAAAACCCGAAGAATTACAAAAATCAACCTTTCTAATCGTATGGACTCTTTTGTCGGACGAGGAGATTTACCCCCTCCAGGCATCGAGGTTCTTTACAATCATTCATAAAAAAGTGCCATTTATTCCACACATCTACAAAGGCATAAAGCATCGAGAAACGTGTTATTCTGTCTACACGCTAATTAGGATCTCAGGATCACTGATGGATTCCTGAGAAAATGAAGACAAAAAAAGTTTGGATTTCATTCTGCTCCCTTGAGTGACGAACGGCGTTTCTCGTCGCTGGCCACGGTGAATTCCTCGTAAAAGTTGCTTCCCAGACGGAGACTTTCGTCGATGTGAAGGTACGGACCAGCGTAGTCTGAAAAGAAATAAATGGGTTTATAATTGAGTAAAAGTTTCCACATTCCAATCCGACAGATGTCACCCCGCCAGTGGTACAGAGTGTCCCACTTAGCGTTGCCAGATATACCGATTTATCGGTATTTATTCCGATTTCCAAACTAGATACCGATATACAGATAACGTTCCTTAGAATACCGATTTTTACGATTTTATACAGATTTATACCGTTTGTTTTTTAATAATCAAAATTATTATTGCCTGCCCGCGCTCGAATTTCGGAGAAATTTTTTGTGAGAGACTTGTATCTTTTTGAATAACTCAAACTCAACAAAACTTGTTTACAATCATCTCTAAAGATGCCTTATACTTGATACTCTTTCGACTAATGTTTGGATTTCCTCACCGTTTTTGACTACCCACCAATCGAGAAATAGTCGATGTCTCTTTTCGGTAATTCCTAGGGAATCGAGAAATATTTTTAAACATTAACTGCCTGAAGTTTCATCCATATTTCCCTGGAATTTTTTTTCCACCTTACCTTGGAAGCTTCTTCAGCCTTCGCTCGAATGATTCTTTCATCTTCTCCCACCAGTTTTTTTTTAACTTTCCCGGAACTTCAACGATGCTATCAGATTGTTATTGCGTATCTATACTAGCTGCAGGCACATTTAAAAACTTCGGAAACTTCAGAAAAGTCCATACTTTTGTGTAAGTTTCGATCAATTAAAAAAAAAGTTTCATTAACATCTGTTAAAATTCGAAAACCCGAGAATTTCAGAAAAGTCCAGCGAACTCACGTGAACTTAAGGAAACATCATAAATATTTTGGAAACATCACAAGTCCAAAGAACTTCAGGGGAATTTAATGGTTTTCAGAAACTTAAGTGAAGTTCAGAGAACATCAGGACAGATAAATTAATTAATGAAAGGAGTTCCGAGAAACTCAGGCAATTTCCGAAAATTTCAGCAATGTCCTGAGGGACTCATGCAAATTTAGGAAACGTAAGGAAAGTTACATCAAAACTAAAACATTGTGAGAACATTTTATGGGAAGTTCTATGCTTTTGAATGGTAGTATCGATAACTTATAAAAATTAAAAAATCGGGAAGATCAGAGAACTTCAATGCTGATTTTACAATAAATTCAAGAAAATTTTGAGAGCACTTAAGAGATTTCGTAATCTTCAAGAAAGTCCAGAGACCTTCAAAGATGATTAGAGGTATTTCGGTAGTCTTATTATATTCAGGGAAGTACCAAGCACTTCGAGGATGACCAAAGAACTCCTAAACAGCCCCTAATTTCAGGAAAATAACAAGAACTTTTAAGGAATTTCGAGGAATTATGGAATATTTATAAGTGAATTTCAGGAATGTTCCGAAAACTTCAGGGAAATTGCGAAGTCTTCAGGAAATTTTTCTGGATCATTAGAACATCCCCCAGGAATCTCTTTCTTCCGGAATTATGTCATTGTTTCTTTGGACTGTTCCGTAAGCGCTCTTGCTTCCGACTTTCTTCAGCTGTTTCTTCCAATCTACCTTAGGAAGTTTCTGTCAGCGTCTCCAGGAAGCTTCTTTCGTCTTCTCCAGGAAGTTCAATTAATTCTCCCAGAAATTTATTTCGTCTTCTTCTGGAAGTTTGACCATAAGCCAAAGGGTTTTTTTTTTTTTTGTTCAACTTTTATTGGAAGGTTTTTCCGAGCTTCTTCTGGCTTTCCCTGGAAATGGCTACTTCTGATAATTTACTTCCGGTTTCCGAAACTTTTCTGGCTTCCTTTAAATGTGACATCCGATTTTTTTCCGATAGTTTATTTTAAATTATTTTGAAAGTTTCCCGGATGTTTTTCCAACTTTACTTTTTTCCAAGCATCTAGGAGAGCTTCTTTCGTCTTTCTCTGGATGTTTTTTTCGGATTCGCTCAGAAACTAATCCAAACATTCCCCGGAGTTTTCTTCCGGAATTTTCAGATCATTGTACAAAAGCTAAAATTTTGCTTTGATTAACGGCTTTCTCAGTCTTGAAACACTGCAACGACTACGATGTAATCTGCTCGACATTTCGACCATGGGTTGTGGCCTTTTTCAAGTGAAAATATTGTTTGTCGTTATTGCCAATAGTTTAGTCGTTGTTGTGGCTGCTTTTTCATATTTTGGTTTCATTTAATGATATTTAATTGAAATAACTACTTTCTCACAATTTTGATCACCACTTGAGGACAACGATAATTTAAAAAATTAAAGACTGTTTTAAGACTGAGAAAGCCGTTAAAGCAATTCCCCTCAAGTCCCAGTCGTCACCATCGTTAAAATTTGCGCTTTCAAAAACGGCAAAAATATAAAATTAATTAAATTGTAATTACCGATAAATACCGACTTTTTAATACCATTGATACCGATAAGCTTTAAAACAATCTGGCAACGCTGGTCCCACTTTCAACTCGCCGCCATTTCTACCCCGACGAAGTTTATCAGCTGTTCAGGCTGTTCATCGATGTGTGTTGTTGTTTACTTATTGCCCAACAAGTTTGTTTGCGCAAAGTGCTTTATTTCATCGCATCATCAAAATGTGAGGCATTTCTCCGGAAAAGCGCAAACAGATCGTGCAAAAATGGTGCAATATTCCCAACCTATCAGTAAGTTGGCGAAAATGGAGGAAGTAAGTATCGGACGAGCCATCCGAAAGTTTGGTGAAGACGTTACCGTTGAGGACACATCGAAATCTGGCCGTAAATTACGATCAGTGGACCGAATAGTGGACCAGAAGATCACCAAGCTTTTGTCTATAAGAAAAGACACACTTTAAGGCTGCAAATTCAATCGCGAAGAATTTGAAAAAGACTGGACAAAAGTGGCCAAAATTATTGCCAAGGAAACTGTGCTGAAGCTCATGGGCAGCGTCAGATCAAAAGATCGTTCCTTGGCATACGATTAACGGAACATGCGGAGCGGATTATTTTTCAATTTGATGAAAATAATCCGCAGTTTATTTAATCGTATGCCAAAATGCTATAGAGAACATATACATGAAATAAAAATTTAAGTTCATTGACATAACGTTGTTTTATTCCAACAATAAATTGTGCTTATACTTTCTGCGACACCCTATAGATAATCCAGCTTTGCGGTATGGAGATTTTAGAAAAAAAAAAACGTAAATTTCTCTTCAAACCTTGCTCTAGCGGTGAAACATATTCTACATTTTGTTCTTTTTAGTAATAGCGACATTATGTAGAAATAATATTTCGAACAAATCACATAATTATTGATATTTTTAATAAAAAGGGAATTTTGCCATACATTATCAAGTCGCTTTTCCACCAGCCCTTACTAAAGAATCGTACATCGTTCTTAGTATAGATACTATAGATTCCATAGATAAGCGGAGGCACAAAAAGTTGTTTTGGCAACCATGAAAAATAAATGATCTGAATGGCATCCGTGAAAAAAGCTGGAGCTCTTCGTTGCGCAGTTTTGTTTTGCTTCGTGCGCAAAAGTTCAAAATGAAGTGCAATGCAAACCCATAAAAAAAAACTATAAAGGTACATTGAAATGTATTGTAACCATACAATAGAATTTATTGTACTTAAAATAAATTGTACTGTCCACAACGATAAAGTAACCATAAAATTTATTGTTTCCACAATATAATCTATGGTAAATGGGGATATCTACAATAGAACAAGGGGGTCGTTATGTATTTTAACCATACAAAAAATCAGTTTTTCCCGGACAAACTTGAGTCATTTTCCATTAATTTCATTGTTTTTCTATTGTGGAAAATTCATATTATATGGGACGTATTGTAGATCTATTGTAATAACAATATTTTGAATTTATTTGTATGGTATACATTCGATAAGATCGATTGTTGGCAATAGATTTCACTGTGATTTTATATTATTTTTTTTATTTTTCATTAGGAAAAACGGCTGGAGTAGATAATGTTGATGCTAGAGTTATACAAGATTGCTTTCATGCCATTGCACAGTGGTGCAGAGCGGAAAAATGCATGGAAATTGGGTTTTGCGCAAAATCTACTGGCTTTAGCGTTTTGATGTCTTGGAAAGAGTTGCTGGTAATGAAAAAGCGCATCTTTTCATTGGATCAGTCATTAGAATTATTCAGTTTTAGAGTGACTTCAAAAATCTAACGCTTCAGGTAAATTTCTGGCAATTTCTTTGACTTCCTCAGCAAAGTTTTTTCGAATGGACAAGATCCATTCAGTGGTAAACAGTTTAAAGGGTGTTACGATCAAAATTTGGTAAAACAAGAATGCGAGTAAATTGATTAAATTTTTGACGTAGGACTACGTCTTTGATTTCTATATGGGGGTTCACTTTGTGAAAACCGAAAATGGAACATGTAACAAATTAAGAAAGATTTTGAACGTTAATAACTCAGTTGCCCCTGGTCCAATTTCAATAATTTTATCACCAATCGATCAGAAATATGGCTTGATTGAGAAACTATTGAAAACTGGTAAATGTTCAGCATTGTCCAAAATCGTCGAATTAACTAACAAATCCACCAATTACCTACATGCATGTGCTGCTTCCCCAGCACAGTCGTCAGAGAGTAGTAAGTAGACGAAACAAGTGGAAGTGGCATTCGCCTCCGCGCCAGCTAATAGGGAGAATGGAATTGCGTAATATTTTGCACACTCATCGCCATATTCAGAACCAAACGCAAATTCTTCGAGATAACTACCATCCGTTGTCTGGCTCGCCGTGGCGGTGTCTGACGTATCTCCGGTCTGATTTACGAGGTGTGCTGAAGGTGTTCCTGAAAAATGGGATCCGTGATGCTGTCACCTAAAACACGCCTTGCGTAAGCGGCCATGGATGTCATCTACGTTTTGAAGTGACAGAGACGCACTCTGTTTGGTTTCGGAGGTTGAATCATCACCAACATTGGCAACAAAACGCCTCTTTTCAGGGCCACCAAGCTTATTACAGTAAAGAGTAGGAATAGAATTCATCTGCCTGTTTGTCCATATTCAGAAACAATGATCACACAAAAT